CCTTTCACATCACGAAATGAGTCTCACAGTTAAGAGAGCTTACCAATAATTTAACGAATAAGTTGGTAGAGTTTTCGAGTATCACCAACGTCCGGGGCCGACTCCAGTATTTCTTCTGGTCCTACCTATCTGATTTTGCCCTCCTATTTCTGAATTGACGGAAGGACTCATCACTAAGGCACTTCGCTCGAGCTGTCAGAGCAGAAAACTGCAGGGTTCTTCCACTGAACCAATCACTGCGGCGTTGCTGGTTTTAGTCGAGAATGTTTTCAACTGCCCCATAAACTAATGTTTTAAGCAGAGACCATTGGCTACTGTGTTCTCCGTTGGCTCTGGTCGGTAAACACGATTTCTCGGCTCAAGACCTCCATAGCATTGGGTTGCGGAAGTTTGGCGACATCGAAATGTGTCTAGCGTGTGGTATTTTAGGCGCAGCTGGAAGGTGTGATTTCCAGCGTGTACTAACGAGAAAGTGGTCAGACCCATCAGCATAACCAGTCTCAGCACCGCGCGGCGATCTGCTATGATGAACCCAGCTGCAGAACGATAGACTGACTAAAATGTAGTCAATCTGACTGGCCATAGGACCGCCGTTTGAGTACCAGTTTTGCAGATTTCTGTTGTGACTCTGGAAACATGTGTTCCTTACAAACAGTCGGTTCTTATCAGCAAGGTTTAGCAATCCTGTACCATTGTCAAATCGCGAACCAAGCCATAAGCGGCCGATACGATGACTGTCTGTGTAATCACCAGGTACAGTCAGGCCATTTCAACCCTGGCAACAATCAGCAGATCGCGGCGGGCGAGACTTTTAACTAATGGTGGTAGCTGCGAGTAAAGCATCTCCTTATCTTGCTGTTCAGCACCGGGGGTTGGTACGTGCAAGGAGAGGATAGACATTTTTGTGAAGTGACCCTTCAGTCGCACAAGCAGGTAGTGCACGACTCGCTGTTTGCGAGAGGACAATCGTCACACAATGTCTACCGGAGGATTCGCGGGGGTCACTGTGGTATAGGGTTAAGTATTAGTTGGCTCCAGGGATCGTTATCGAACATCCGAGTCAGGAATTTGGACTTTGGTGAGGCAGCAGGTATCTACGTTATACTGATAAAGACTGCGTACCGTCAGTCTTTGGATACCAGTGGTCGGGAAAGTTCGCACATTCCAGCATCCATTACCAAGGGTTGGATTCCGATTGAGTAGCTCAGCTCGCATACTATTTGCCCACACCACTGGACTAGGGTTGCAGAACACGTAGGTTTCCATGGATGTTGTAGCATGAATCGCAATACTGTTAATAGGCATGGTTTTCATGAGGTTTCTTAGGAATTGTAAGTACGGGCGGGCCCGAACAGCCGCTCCGATTTTGTATTCGAGGTTGCCTCCTTTAGCGCTTTGGCTCGATAGCCTCAGTAAAAGGCAGTTTTCGTAACGAACTTATTTAATGGCCGTTCACGGTCGCCATATTGCGGTGCCGTTGTTAAAGTTTATGTGCCGGACCCCAGCCCACTGCACCCACCGCGACCATTTATTTGACAGACTCGAAAGGGTGCGATTGACGGCTGTGGCAGCTACTTTTACAGGATTGTGAAGCAAGTTCAAGTGAGCTGCGGTTGGTGTGCTGCATTGCTCGAGGGAGGGGGGAGTGTTGCCTATAGAGGCCCATACTGCATGGTGGACATCATCGAAATCGACAGCCAACCTGTCGTCGTCGTCGGATGTGTGCGGGCCAGTTGGTCAGAGGTTCAATGAGTCGCAAACAGCTGCCTGTAGAGATACATGGCATTGAAAAAGGAAGGGGATGTCATTGTTGGTTGTCCGCCACGAGGCATTTTAAGATTAAATGATGCACCGATCAGAAAACGTATGATACCCCATTGTGGCAACCACTCATCTGTTGAAGCCGAAAATGTCAATTAGCACGAGATGAATATC